AACAAAGTCACAAAAATTACTCTAGGGAACAGTTTGTAGATCGTTTGTTCCTAATTTACGAACAGCGGCAGTCTCGTCATCCAAAAAACTGAGTTTGTAAATAAATGTTTAAACAAATAAGTAAGAACTGTTTCTTCTGAATGTTTCTCACCTAAGGACGTGGCACTGGTAGATGTTGAAGAACTTGTTGAAGCTGCTAAAATATAAAAATGTTTGACTCAAGTTGCTCAAAATGCTCCTGTCGTATTCGATTAATCGAATTGGCATTGGACTTCAACCTAGTATATGTGATTCAATATTCATCTATAAACTGGGGAAAAGATCCAGTACAAGTTTTTTATTTAGCTCATCAATAAGCGGCTACACAATCTTATCCGTTGTAAACTATGAAAAAGGCAGACAATGTTTAATAACAATTCCCTTCAGTACTTATATCGCCGTTGTGCTCGCTTTTGTGAGTAGAATTTCTGAAGTATATCCCCTAGAAACTCGTAGAAAATGACGGAAACAAGCCTACGCTTGTTTCTTGTTTCACAGTTAGTATATTCGTAAAAAAATTCAGCAGGAGATCTCGGAAGTCGAAAAATCGAGAAAACTCGAACGACCTCAAAACTCGGTAAAAACATGATGTCCGAAAAAGTAAGCTTTTTCGACTCTGATGTTTGACCGGAGACATCAAATTATTTTTAACTTCTTCAGCGTTGAAAAGTGAATTGAAAAAAAGTATTAGATCTATTTCGACGACAGGCGCCACGAATGGGCAATAAGGATGCGTCATTGTAAACCTATCCAGTTTTTTGGGTGACGAGACTGCCGCTGTTCGTAAATTAGGAACAAACGATCTACAAACTGTTCCCTAGAGTAATTTTTGTGACTTTGTTTAGTTAGTAGTTGTGATGCAGTTTGTCGTTTAGATACACGGTTCAATGTGTCATTTCCAGCCCATGTCGAATATATCACAGGAATCGCCTCACCGTCGGTTTTTTCAATTGATGTTAATCACGATTCGACAATTGATCTGATTATTGAACTGTGATCGACTGTATCCGTTAGTGGACCGTGGTTGTACGCAAATCAAGAGTAGAATGCGGTTCCCGCCTTCTAATCGCGATTTTTCTGTAGTTGCGAATAATCGAACTTTAGAAAGACACGTGATATACTGCAATCGTAAAAAGAAATGCGATTTGTGTATTCAAAACCTCATTGTCACTTGGCTCCTGCCCATAGCAGTTTCGGGAAGAAGGCCATGAAAACTACAGAAAAATCGCGATTAGAAGGCGGGAACCGCATTCTACTCGTGATTTGCGTACAACCACGGTCCACCAACGGATAGAGTCGATTACAGTTCAATATAAAGAAAGGTAATTATTGCTAGGGAAGTCAGGATTATTAGTTCGAATCGCGAGCAACTGCGTGCATTGTTTAACCGAGATTTTTTAATAAAACGCAATTTTGGATAAAAAAACTGCGATTTAGAAGCTTTTTCAGGGGGGAAATCGCGTTTAGACGCGTTTTTGCAATCGGAAAAATACTCATGAGTTCATGCCAAAAGTTGGTGTAGCATTCGTTATACTAGTTAGTGAAACATAAAAGGGAAAAATAATTGCTTTATGTTCAGCACTGTAAACAAGCATAGTCATGGTACATGGAAGGGAGTTTGAAAAGTTGTTTGTTCTTTTAATTGAAGTCTAATGATGCGTATCGATTTGCTCGTTTAGCAGGAAAATCCCTTTGCACTTGTGAAGAGTTGAAGTCAAAACAGTTTTTAAAAAAATACCTGCTACCGTCGATTTGCTCGCTGTTCCATTTATTATTGTACTGTGGCATATAGCTTGTTGCATTTGATCTGATATTTTTGCCGTGGATAAATTTACATTAATGAACTGTGCACCTCGTAAATCTGAATCACCAAAGTCTGTACCTTGCAGTTCCGTGCCGTTAAAACTAGCACAGATGAGAGAAGAACCTTCAAATTTCGCGCCATTTAACCTTGAACCATTAAATGATACACCATTAAGGTTGGCAAAATTGAATGATGCATTTACCATTGAAACTTGATCAAATTGAACACATTTCATATTCAATTTATTCAAACTTCCAGTTTGACTTGTTAGCTGAACATTGTCTAAATCCAGTTCATTCAATCGAATAATATCTACCAATTGTTTAACTTCGCAGCCTGTTGTGCATTGATCTCTCCCAATCAACCCTTTCTCTTTGAGAAATTGTAATGCATGTGCTTTTCGAACAGCATCCCATTGACGATGCGCAGCTCTGTAACGTGCATTAGCAAATGCCCATGGTTCAGATGTTTCATTTAATTCATCATCTCTATGTAATGTATAAATATTATCAATAAAGTCATTATAAATTTGTTGTTGTTGCAATTCAGTTGCTTGTTTCAAATCAAACTGACGTCGTTCTTCAGCTGCTTTCGTTTGTCGATCAGTCGTTATTGTTGTATAAATGCCGATGGCTATGGGTACAGTAGCTGCACACAAAATGGTTAATAACTCATGAAATGTTAATTTAAAATATTTTTGTTTTTTTGTTGCTGGTTTTGTCGTAACTTGTTCAACTCGATAACTTGATTTCGTGATCATTTATGCTTGATAAAATCGATTGGACACACTCAAAGCTTGGAAATAATTAGTAATCTATCGAACTATTCTTTTATCTCTCGCTGTCACAATTTAGTTTGGGAAATAAAAATAACTTCTTTGACG